TGTTTCATGGGGACATTTCCTCACTTCCCCTGGTTCTTTGTAGGTTTAGCTGCTAGCCTAACCACATTAGCATTTAACAGCAGCAGCAACACAGACTTAAGTTTTAAAAAGCAAAGACTGCCTTGTCAACAGTAAAACACAAGTTTTTTGTTTTTTTATGATCTTAACAAGTATATATACAAAACTAATTCTTCACAAAGATTCCAGAAAGGGGGGAAAAGGCCCAATACAGTTTTATCTACCAGGCACCATTTAAAGAGAACTTAATATCCATTTAAATCATCAGCAAACTTTGCACATTTATAACCAGACATCAGCAAACTTGAATACTATACTATACAATTACATGAACACATCTAAATCACCAAACTGACCACGCAAAGTAGCTCACATAGCTTCGCTGAAAAAAAATGAAAATAAAAACCCAAATTACTTCCAAAATATTCCAGTGATCATACCAACTTACAAATCTACATTCTTCTACTTGCACCATCTCTCGCCATTTCTTTTCCCACAAACTTCCTTCAACATACATACAACCTCCCTTACTAGGGTAATTTCTTGGTTTCCTCAAGATATTGTCTGATCATTTAGTAGCAGGTATAGAGGTCTAAACTATTTTTTGTTTAAGCAAACCAAACTACAAGTCTGAGATAAAGAAAGTTATTCCTGCTGGGCACCAGTGGTTCACACCTGTAATCCTATCTACTGAGGAGGCTAAGATCTGAGGATCGAGGTTCAAAGCCAGCCTGGGCAGGAAAGTCTGTAAGATTCTTATCTCCAATAAACCACTAGAAAACCGGAAGAAGTATCACTGTGGCTCAAGTGGTAGAGTGCTCGCCTTGAGCTGAAGAGCGCAGGGCAGCCACTTAAGCCCAGAGTTCAAGCCCCACGACCAACCAAAAAAAGAAGAAAGAAAGAAAGAAAGAAAATTATTCCTGCTTGGTTATCTTCTCAATGACTGTTATTAGTAATACAATTGATTTGTCTCAAGGGATAATGAATGGAATACACTTGCTACAACTGCAACCTGTTTAATATCCAAAAAAGCTACAAATTTGCCTCTTCAAAGTTTATAAGGATATATAAATGCTCCTGTTTTGGGACATTTAAGGAATAAAGGCCACATAATGTACCCTCTTTGATGTTTCCATAACTAAATAGCACTGAGTGGGATTGAAAATATTAACCTAATTCTAAATTTTGAACTTCAGAAAAAAATATATACACAGATAAATAGTAACTATCTATCCCCCCCCAGGTAATACATAATGCATTTTTCTTGAACTGCCAAAAACTCATTTTCAAATTTGTCCACATTATGTTGAGAGTTCAGACAAAGCAGCACTCTTGGTGCTCCAGGATTAAGTTTTCAAAAGCCAGTGTTGTAATCTGAAAACACTTGAAACTCATTTAACTGCTTTTACTATTTCTCTTTAGCCTGTTCACCTTAGAATGCTGAAGGGTGGGCTGGAGGTGCCAAAAGAGCACCTGCCTAGCAAGCAAGAAGCTCTGAGTTCAAACCCTAGTACTGAAGGGAAACAAAAACTTAGGGATGAAAGTACTAACTTAAAAACCAAAGAAGGGACAATTCACCATGGTTAAATAAGAACGATACACTACATAATATATTAACAAAATTTAACTGTATCAAAAGGCTCAAAAAACTTTGGACTTAATGTGGCTAAGTGGTAGAGTGCTTGCCTAACAGGCATGAAGCCTTGAGTTCAATTCCTCAGTACCACATAAACAGAAAAAGCAAGAAGTGGCGCTGTGGCTCAAGTGGTAGAGTGCTAGCCTTGAGCAAAAGAAGCTGAAGGACAGTGCCCAAGCCCTGAGTTCAAGCCCCAGGACTGGGAGAAAGAAAGAAAGAAAGAAAGAAAGAAAGAAAGAAAGAAAGAAAGAAAGAAAGAAAGAAAGAAAGAAAGAAAGAAAGAGGAAAGAAGGAAGGAAGGAGAGAGAGGGAGGGAAGGAGGGAGGGAGGGAGGGAAGGAGGGAGGGGGGAGGAAGGAAGGAAGGAAGGGAGAGAGGGAGGGCAAGTGGGAAGGATGGAAGGGAGGGAGGGAGGGAGGGAGGGAGTTTTCTCTTTCATTTCTGTTCTACTAAGCACTAATGGAAAATTATATATGGATAAGCCCGAGTTGAAAAAAATATTAGTTTTATCTTTCAATATGAAAACATTAAAGAAAATGTCCTTAAGCATTAAACCCTGTGTGAAGGGTGTTTTACAGAAGATTGGTCCTTATTTATAAGATTGATTTTCCCTACATGATTTATCTATGTAATAATAAGCCTCTCACATAGCCACACACAAACATTTTCTGGAATGATTGCAGGCCTAGGAAGGTTGGATCTTAAACTCTCGAGGTTAGAGTAGACATTTATAAAACTCAACAGCTCACAGAGTTCTCCCTCACCCTCCAACTATGAGTGAATGACTAAGCCAGCTTTAGCTTAAAGTGCTGGCCTTGTCTAAAGACATCTAACAGAAGCTGACATACATACAACTTCCTGGAGAGTATTTAAGGCTGACAGTTCATACTAGTCCCTACCCCTCCTCCACCAAAAAAATCAGTAGGCCTTTCAAATACTCATTAAAAAAAAAAATTCACTTTCAGTAAGTGCTGTTCATCATCAATATCATTCTGCAACAACTACTGAAGCCCTATTATAAAGTATAAGAATTTAATTCTAGACCACAAGAAATGTCCCTTAAGACGATCACCCATTTGTCCTTATTTCATCTAAAATGTTTCCTTAAGACAATCTGTTAAGTGTGGTTAGACTTACAGAAAACGGGCAATGCCAACTGAGATATATTATTTATTAAATCACTGGACGTTCACCTTCAGTTCCCTAATTATCAGTGGATGCTTACGCTTTAATAAAACAAAACCTTACCATTTTGGGTACTTCAGAACAAACATGAACAACAGAAAAAACTGAAATCTTTTCTCTTATTCCTTCTATATCTGAACAAGGGCCTACATTATCTCCTATATAGCTCCTATGGGACACTCACTATTAAGCAAAAAGTAAATTTCATTTCTCCATACCAGTTTTGAGATTGTGATTAAAAAAAAAAAGACTTCAAATAAGGTGAGCCAAAAGATTAAGTAAACAGTTATTCTTAATCTGATTGCTCTGTTTTTGTTTGAGTCAGAAGCCCTGTTGAAAACAACAGTCTAATTCCAATCAAAAGAAAAGTAGCTCAGTGGTGAGCTCAGTGGTGGAAATGTAGCTCAGTGGTGGATGGTCTGTATACACAAGTCCCTTACATACCATTCCTAACACTAAAAGAAAAAGGGGAAAAAGAGGAAGAGACAAGCCCTGGACACAGAAAAAATCTGCACACAAAACTCAAGAGCAAATACACTACATGTGATAACTATACATTTCCTTTTGCACTCATAAGAAAATTATACTTAGATGAAGGTATTTTTACTGCCTTTTAGGGTAGCTTGTCAAGAACTCAAATTCTACCGAGTCAAAATATTATTCAATTAAGAAAAAAAAAAAAGCCAACACACACAACTTCATCTCCATGAACCTCCCTTCCCTTGAGTGGAGAAACAATCCAGTAACTTACTATCCCAGTTCAATTATAGGAAAAAAGAATTTTTTTAAGAGACAAGACTGAGGTGGAATGGGAAAAAGGACCACTGTCAGCCCAGGAGATGCTCTGGGCCAAAAGCTGCCCCCATTCTCACCCAGCACCTGTCCAAACTGACAGGTTCACTCCCACAACCTTCCTCCTTATGATCTTTCCTAAACGCCTTAAGAATATGTGAAGTTTGCCCGGACTGCATAAACAATTCAGCGCAACTGACACCGGCTCTAAAGTAAACAATTAATACACAGTATTTTAAATTTAATGGTGGGAAGAAAAGGATGGAACAACAGGCAACAGCTCCTCCAACTGGTTGGAGCATATATCAATATAAACCCTAAAAACATTTTTTCCAACAACTTCAAGTTCTGGTGGATACAGTCGTATGCACCGTAGAAACTTTGGGACCAGCAACCACCACACAACAGGTGAGAGAGGCCGTGGACATCACTGCACAGTGAAGTGCACGGCATCCATGGCAAAGCTTCCAGTCCCTGCTCCCACCCCCACCCCCGAAAGGCCGCCGACATTCACAAGACCCCCCTCAGACCCTCTGTCTTTCCAGCAGAAAAGGTTCGGATCCGTCGGAGGGGCGCGTCACCCCGCACTCCCCTACCCGGGGCACCGCCACCCCAGGCACGGGAAGAACCGAGGGCCCTCGCCGGGCACGTCGCTGCAGAAGAAAACACAATGTCGCTCCTTATTTCTGCGTACAAAAGGACTTTGCGCCGTCCTCCTCCAACTGCCGCCCGGTCGCCTGCTAACAACTTGCAAGAAGGTGGGCAACGCGCCATATTTCAGCGTCCCCCGGTCTACCTGGGTAACAAGCCCACGCCACCCCGGCAG